TTTATAAACATTGAATATATTGAATTCAAACATTGGCAGCATCATTACATATCAACAGAAAGTACACAGGGATATTTGTGCAGGTTGTTCACGCTGTTTAAGAGTATTTGCAGGTTTTAGCACGTGTTTGTTCAACAGCACATAGATAATTGGATTATGCTGCACTGAGTTCTTTCCAAAGACAGCAGGAGATGCTGCTGTCGAGCCAGCAAATTATCTAACCTGCAGAGGTGGAGTATGTAGTCCAGCCAACCAGCTCAACTCAATACAGTCTGTGTCAGTTCACTCCTGCTGCATTTGAAGTTGGACATGGTGACATTCAAGCCACTCTGATGGTCTGACTGCACGTATGATCAAAAATATAAACACAAGCCCCACAATTATGCATTTTATTCACTGGCTCCATTGATAAATTGTAAAAAATGGAAAATTGCCCACAGCTGCTGATAGTAAACACAATGTCCCCATAACTGTAGGAATGTAGATGATAAGACATCTGGACATGCAACACTGAGACAGTGTGAAGGGAAATATTTCAGACATCATGATTATAAAGATAATGTGTTTTATTCACTGTACCTTTTACTGTAAACTGCTACAATTAATAACAGCCTCTCTAAAGTACATTTTCTTTACGCTCCGTGCTCTCAATACATCGGTCTCTCAGTGTGGTGACTTGACAATAATTGACTTTGTGCAGAGGATCACTCAGTCTTACTCTTGTAGTCCATGGACCATGGAGCTCTCTCTCTCTGTGGCAAGGGTCGCATATGTTTACAGGCAAGTTCTTAAAGCCAATAACTTGTAATCACCATAAGCCTCATGTATAAAACAGTGCGTAGGATTCATACTAAAAGTGTATGTGCGTGCAAAAGCCGGAAAATGGTGTAGGCAAAAACAATCACAGTCCACCTGCTAACATCGAGGAGCTTAGTGAGGTGGAGGTGAAGAAAAAGACAGAATGTATGGTTGCCACAGCAGTGATATCAAAAGAAAATACACTGAATGACAACAGTTGTCATAAAAACTCAAAAGGTGTTTAGTTTGTCCAGTCTGGACTAATGTAAAAAACGTATTTAAGTATAAAGGGCCTTTTCTGGGTTAAAGAAAACTCAATTCAAACAATGTAGATGAAACGAGCTAGTGAAAACATCATGAGGATTATTCTACATTCAATTTCTGCCAATAGATCCCTTTCACCTAAATCTTACACACTGGACCTTTAAGGTGGAAGCAAAAAATATTCCTTGCTGTCAGAATGTGAAAAATTTTACCAAATGACATTATTCCCAAAAGGGGCATTGAGAAGAACAGTAAATAATTAAACAGTGTTAATCTGTCTGCTAATGAACCCAGAGGGGTCAGTATTTGTGTTTGTACTGGGATGGTTTGGTTCCGTCAGGTCGGTCTGTGTAGTTTTGGACTCCATTCAGCACAAAGATCAAAGATCTTTAGAATCTATATATTTATATACAGTGCCAGTGCATCCATCACGCAGCATTACACATAAGCATTTTTTATTAAAAACTATTAATCACTCCGTTGTGCAACTTTTATTTTATGCTATTTGCTTAAAGTTGTTTTGTACCGTGTTCAACTGAAGGTTCTAATGAAACAATTATGTTGCGAGAAAATAACAATGGTTGTAATGTTAATGATGAAATGGAACAATAATCTGACTTCACCTCCTCAACTCTGCCACTTTGCTGCATCCAAAGTATTTGAACACATGGGTTAAAGTTTGCGTACATTCTCCCGTCAGGTTTTTATAGATCCCAATGGTTGTGTGAAGTGGCGTATTATGCACAAAATGGGGTCTGCACGACGCGTCTGCACGACGCGTATGCAACGGTTATAAATGAGGCCCGTGGAACCTCACAGATTCTGTCTATATTATAGATATAATGCCCCAGATTTGCAAATGGTCTGTAGTTGGTCATGTAGCTTATATTCTTGTTAAGAAGATATTTTTTTAAGGTGTTTTTTAGTCGTTTGTCTCTAAAACCTTTTACTCCTTACTGCGCTCTTACAAATGTGTTCTGTT